GATTTTTTTATATAAAAAACATTGATATATAACTTTGATGGGATATTTTCATGATGATTTTTTATATAAAAAAGCATTGATATATAACTTTGATGGGATATTTCACACAAAAAAAAATTGCGAGAGAGACGGCACGAACATCAGCACTACAAAATTTAATGATGTTTAAAAAAAAAATTAGACAAAATTTACCAAATAACTACAAAATTCATGTTCACAGAATGAATTAGTAAAAATTTTACACAATCCAAAATTAAGAGACTAACTATACGTTTCTTAATTATCTAAAATGCATCTCCCTACTCCTTCGTCATCTTTCTCCCTCAATCTTCTCACGCTAAACTTTGTACCTCTTTTTTTTTTTTATGCGGCTTGCATGAAGATAAAAATAAATCAATCATCTAAAAGAGTAGTTGGGAATATTTAGATGTAAGATTTATTCTAATTTGTATCTAGGTTAAATTTAGAACGACACACTTTTTTTGTTTTTTAACGCCTACTTCATCCATCACTACAAGAATTTGGTAACATAGCTACATTTTATTTTGTAGCTATAGTATTTTTTTTTAGCAAATTTCTATTGGTTACGAATTAGCTACAAACAATTCACCATATGTATACGTTTGAAACAAATTTAACTTTTGTAGCAAATTGTAGCAAGTTGCCACAAAAAAATTAATAAAAGCACGTTGTAGCTATTTGAATTAAATTTGTTACAAGATATATTGCGTAGCTAATTTGTTACAATGTAGTTACAAATAGTTAGTGGAAAATTGATACAAAATTCCACAAAAATATTGAAGTAAATACTCACTAGTTGCGACAAACTAATCGTGAAAATTGCCACAAACGGTGTCAAATGTTTCGAAGGTAATAGCCACACTTAGTTACAATGTTTCTGTAACTAATAGCAACACTTAGTTACAAATAATTTTTGATGATTTGCCACATTTTGTAACACCCTTATTGTAACTTTTAATTACATTTAGTGTGAATTGTTGTGTAACTAATCCCTACACTAACATACAAAAAATTATATCAATCTTCATAACAAAACTATTTAGTTAACAACAAATTAAAGCAATATATATTATACAAAATTAAGATTAAAAGTAACATTTTTCTTACAAAGCCTACATTATACATAGGATTAGTGTATTAGAATTTCCTACATTATACATATGATTAGCCTATTACAATTAGCCTAAGGTGATGTGTAAAAGAATTATAATAACACATCAACACATATTTACCAAAAAAAGAGTTACCGTTTCCAAAAGATTGGGCTAATTATAGAGTTTGCAAAAATCAGGCTAAATATCTATAATTAGAGAGTCCAAGAAGTACTTTTAAAAGGCTGCGAAGGCTCCA